ATTAATAACAGTGATCACCAAATGACGGCCGGCGGGCCAAATTCAGCCGGTTGAGCGCCGAGTTGTGAAGCAGCCCCCCAACACCAGAAATAACAAAACAGGCCAATTTAATCAGTTTGTGTTGGTTTATATAAAGATAAAACTGAAAATTATTGAGACTTTATCAGTCTGACGGCTTTTATCATAATGAACAACAGATGTTTTTTTTACCATCGGGTTAGACAGATGTGAGGGTGGTGGTGATCGTATAATTTTCTGCCTGTTTATGTTTGTTTGTCTCTTAACAAATATGTTTCATGAACCATCAGACAGATTTAAAATAAAACCTTTTAGAAAATAAGCGTTGTGTATCATCTGTTTTGACTTTTAGAGTTTATCCTATTTCAGATGCAACTCAGCTAATCAACCTTTGCAAAAACAAACTCAAATATCACTATGTGATATGTGGAAAATGTGGTGTGGTAGTAGCTGAGAGTTATACTCAACACATGCTCTGAGTATTAACAGATCACATGATGTTGTGCAGGGGGTAGGGTTATATATACATTTCTTCAAATGATCATTCCGTCTAATCGAGCATAGTAACAACACACAAAAAAACTTCATCAAACATTCATTTATTTTAATTTTTTATTACTAATATTTTTTATCTCAGTAAAAATGCATTTATTTATTTATTTATTTATTTATTTATTTATTTATTTATTTATTTATGCATGCATGCATGCATGCATGCATGCATGCATGCATGCAGACCTCTGGTCAAACCTCAGAGTAAACTGGGAGACCCTGCCCTCTGCTGGTTAGTTCTGCACAAACCATGTTGGTGAAAATGTGCCACTCAGGATGGATGCTTGCTTGGACGGTTTTGAAATTTCTAAATAAATCAAATATGCAGTATTGTATATTAAAAAAATATGAAAAATAATCATTTACAGCTTTGATGGTACAAGAACTTCTAAATGAAGATGATGTTTGAAACTGGAACATGAGGGGAAAAGAAGCAAAAATCAGGCACTAACTTGAACTAAATCAACTTATGTTAGATTTGTTGAAATGCATTTAAACACAACTCTTCACTGCTTAAATTATAAAATAGAACCTCTATGAAAACCACAGAGGAGCGTTTTTAGGTTTTGATAAGTTACAATGAGCAGATATTGTAAACGGTTCTTCTGTAAGCAGATATTTTGATTCAGTGGCACATATTCTATTTTGTTTTTTAAGCCACTTCAGTGGAAAACAGAACTGAATATTAGCTTCTTCATCATCAGTGACTTTTTTTAATAAAAGAGGAGAAGAAAAAGAAAGAGAAAAAAGGAGAAATGCGATGGGGAAGATTGAGAGAGATTAGAAAAGATATGTGAAATATAAACCAAGAAAACACACCTGACATCTGTCTGCAAATGGAAAAGTGGAGAAAACAAAAACACAGCAACAAATAACATGTGTATATCATAATAATAATAATAACTTTGCTGAAATATGTATAAACTTACACCCCCCCACACACACACACGTATATATATATATATATATATATATATATATATATATATACACACATATAAATACATATACATATACATATACATATATATATATATATGAATGCCTGACAGAAAGCCGGGAAGCTGAACAGCAGTTTGTGTAACATCTCAGATTGTGAATGAATTACCTCTTCTAGCTCAGCAGAAGCCTTTAATCATGTGTTCATTCACTTCTGCTCTGTGTTAAAGACCTTTCAGCCATGCTGTGTTTTGATATGTGTATGTGCATGTATGTAATGTTTATGGAAATTTGTTAGTGTTAGGTACATTAGGTACAATGGTTGTGGGTGTTGTTTATTAATTGTTGATTTGACTTGTTAAAATTCTAAGAAACAAAATGTTTATAAATATCCATTGACCTATACAATAATGAAACCAAAGCAAAGCAAAAAATAAATTAGAAAAGCAAGACAAACACACACACACAAAACACTCTGCAACTACTAACCAAATTAACTTCACTTTATTAAATGCTTCTTATGGTCAATTTGAATCTGTAAAAATATAAATGTGTAAGCTGCAGAGAATAAACTGTTTCTGATTCATTTCCAGGTAATATTTATTAACTCACCCTAAAATCAATCATTTAATATGATTTCAGCTACACTGATTTGTTTCTTATATTTATTTGTTGTGTAAATACTAAAATAGCATAAGCTCAAGAGATTGTTGCTTTTGTTTTTTGTAACTTTTATACTCTTCAAAATATTTAACTTTATTTACAAACTTATTTCCTATATTACACTGAGATATTTTGCCACTTTAAGCTTTTGGAAGGCCAGCGTATTTTATTTTATTTTTGAGCTTCTTGAAAGGCTTTACGCATTCTGCTTCTTTAATGTCATTTTTAGCTTCTTCAACAAATTTCAACGACTGCATTTTACCAGAAATGAAATTATTTTTGCTTAATTTATTGTTACTGACGTTACACATAAAACACAGATATGTGTTTTAAACACACATATGCCAGCTCCTTTTAATAAATATAAACACTGGGAACCGTTTTTTCCACAATGTTCCCTGAGAAGTTTCCCTGGAAGATCAGGCCAATGGGGCTGACTGGTCTAAATCACGTGACACTTACTTCCGGTTAAACTTCCTGTTAGTTTCATTCGTTTAATTATTTTTATTTTTTTTAATCTTCGTGTCAAAAACAGTTTGATTTAAATTTGACCCATTTCGGAAGTGAATATTTACATTGGCAGAACGCACCAAAAGTGTCCAACATTTTTTATAAATAAAAAAAGAGGGCGGCTAAAGCTCGCTGGTTAGCTGTAGCATTCACCTGCTGACAGCTGTGTGTTTGGTTTTGTAGTGTTTTCTCTTAGGGGTTTCCCTTGGTTTTTCCGTGTGCTCCTGCTGGTTAAAAATCTTAATAATTATTAAGTTTACAAGCTAACGACATGGCGTCTCTGCTCTCAGCGCAATGCGCTGTTTCTCTAAAGAAATCTGGGAGTTTAATTCATTTTCGAAACGGGAAGCTGCTGATTTCTTCTCGACGCTACGGCAGCAAAACAACTTCGTCTTCGGAGTTTCTGCACGAAAGCGTCGTGCCGTCGATGCATTACCAGAAGAGTTTGCCCAGGTATGCATCTGAACACCTGTTTGGTCGATAGGTCTTGTTTATTAAAGGTTTTAGGGATGAATAAGGTGACCCTTCAGGCTCAGGATGAATGCAGGTTAAAGGGCAGAGGGTGCATTTAAACTGTGTGACCACAAGGCGGCTATCAGATACAAGAATAAAACATTTATTTACAGTTTAGCTGCAATAAGTTACTGTTTAGTCATTGAAGAGATGTGACTGTGCATATTTTAAATACATAAATATAAGAACAGAAGTTCCAGACATTTATTAAAACAAATGGTACAAAAACATCATTAGGACATAAAATTTGCTTTGGTTATTACCCAAGTGATAAAGTGGTCATACAAAAGGCACATTATAACTTAAAATCAACAAACCTATGATTATAAAAAGGGCTGCAGGCCTGAGATACAGGAATGTATAAATTCATGAAATATAAGTTATTTTGAGTACAAAACATCAAAAATCTGAAAGGTTACAATGTATGCCTTATGTCAGGGATAGTCAGTTCTGGTCCTCGCAGTCCTACATGTTTTACTTGTTTCTCTGCTCCAACACACCTGATTTGAATGAATGGATGATTTTCAGGCTTCGCAAGAACTCTGACTGAACCAGGTGTGTCAGAGAAGGGAAGAAAGGGAAAATCTGCAGGGCTGTGGACCTCGAGGACCAGAATTGACTATCCCTGCCTTATGTTATGAACAGCAGCATTTTCTGGGAAAATACAGTGTGAATGTTCAGAATAACTTTACTGAAAATGCTGAAAGAACAAGGGTAAACCTAAAAGTAGCAAAACACTAGCTAAAAGTAGCAAAATGCCAGCTAAAAGCTAAATGTATCATAAGCAGATACGATTCCAAAGAGAACAATGGGCCTCATGCAAAAACCGTTCGTACGCACAGATTTGTTCTTAAATTGTGCGTACGAGTGATTTAGGAGAATTTGTGGCATTCACCAATGTTTTCGTATTCTAAGATTTTCTTCAGTTTTCAATTTACGAGTGGTCCAGACCTGTCGTACAT